GGCATAGATACAAAAAGTCCACAGCCTACTTGCACAGGGCTGTCAAAGTGTACCTCATACTTTGTGCTTTTTATAAATCTAAGATGAAAGCCCTAGCTATCTCAAACACCGGAATGGAATGACTTTCTTTTTTTATTGTTGCTAAGACATTGCACAGTATGAATTATTTTAATAGCCTCCCTCATTCTGCAAAATATTAGGGCACAATGCAGAATAATATATTGAGCTTATTTAAAATTTTAAGAGAATAGAAAAATACATATTTGATGTTATGACCACCAACCTGCTATGTTAAAGCCTTTTGCTTCTTGGCCTCCAGTAAAATAAGCTCAGTGTTCTAATGTTCAATCCCTGTGTAAAGTAGTACATCACAAAACTATTACCCTTACTTTCACACAATTGGCCTTCACTATTCACATAAAACAGAAAAATAAGTTACCATGGAGACAAAGCCAATTCTTCTCGCCAGAATGGCTGATTCTTCCAAGTCAGAATGGATTTTTATCAGAAAAGTCACATAAAGTACTCATAGAAACTGGCAGTCCAAAATCTGTAGTCAGTAACTGTATAGGTAACCATGGATAGATTATCATTCAATAGAATACAAAAACAAATATTGTACTAAAGACAATCCTATGTAATCGCTATTCACAAAATAAAACCCTATGTCCTTCTAAACAGTGTAGAAAGTTTAAATTCTGTTTTCTACCTCTACTTAGTGCTTTATTAATGGGGTGACCATACTGTTTGACCTATTAGCTAAAATTTGCTAGACCTCCAGGAGAACATATGGACATCCAGATGGGTTGCTGTAATTTAATGCCATTATTCTAAGGATGAAGTAAGGTATAAACATAATTTGCATTCTTTTCCATCCTTCCTGCAAACCTTTCATTAGTTTCATTTTTAATTCAGACATCAGAAGGGAAGATAATACCTTGCTACCAAAGCCCAGATGCCAACTAATTACTACAAGAGACTCCAGTCCTGACATCACAGGCCAGGCCTCTGAACACGCTCTGTCTTACTCAGTGACCCCACAGTAGTGATTAATAGGTTGAGTGCTAAGCCCTAATGAATGTGTCAGATCTTAGGTGTTCTCTAGGCTAACGCAATTAGCATTGCATTGAACAGAATATTTCAGCTACTTGTTAGAGAGACTCATTATACTTCTATTAAACTATGTCTTTTCACCTTATGCTCTTTAAATTTATTTTATAATCATCAACCTAAAAGACTCCTGTAAATATATTTCATATATTATATGAAAATTTAAGTATTTTAAAATCAAATATTGATTTTCTTCTACAACAGTGAACCCCTGTGTTGTGTATAAAGTGAAGTTGTTTTCAGAGATGTTTGTTCAAATGCAAGTTTCTGAACTCTATCAACAGAAATCTTGATAAAAGGGGATTTGGGATAAGGCCCAGGACTTCATTTTTAACAAGACTCATGACTCAGAAGCAAAGCATTTTGTAGACCACACTTGAAGAAAGACTGTAATGTGAGTAACAGGACTAATACCTGTGTCTTAGATTAACTGACTATATCAGACTTTTTGTTCTAAATAGTTACGTTTCTGAAAAAAAAATTATCGCATCCACATTAAGAAAATTGTTTCCACATTAGATTATAATTTTAAGTATGCCAATTATTTTTGGTTAAAAGATTAGAAACTAATTATCAGGATAAGATGTAGATGTTATTTCCAACAAATTATGTAAATGTATAAGATCTATATTCAACAGTGGACATGGCAGGTAAAAGCATTTTCATCCACTAGACAATGGGCATAGAATTGTGTTTACAGTTTTAAAAGAAGGACCAAAGGTGAGCAGAATTTCTTCAATTCCTGACTTTTCTCTATGGCCAGAGATGAAACATTTACATGTTTTAGCCCTGATAATGGAGGACGTTAGGCAATATTCCAGGTATTTACTTGGATCTAACCTAGATATTGCCATCATCAATTACTAAATACTAAGAATTTGTATGTATCTAGCATTGCTTTCACAAAACAAGCATATATAAAATCCCTATCACCCTAAAAATTTTAAGGCAGCTTTTTCCAAATTTAAAACTATTTTAATAAACTACCATTTTCTTCCTGAATTTCAAAAGAATTCTTTTGTGCTTTTAAAAATTTATACCATACATAGTAAAATAGAAAAGTAAGTATGAATAAAATGAAAACATTTATTTGTAGTAAATATAGGATATTTACTTTTCATAATTTCATATTCAGATTTAGTAGTTGGAGAAAGTTAATTATGCCACTGTACATTCTAATGTTCCTTTTAGATCCAGCCAGAGGGTGGAGGGCTGTCATAGGCAAGTCTATAAACACATGTATATTTTGTTCAATGGAGAATGTTGAGAAACCAAGCTCTATCTAGGACTGGCGGGATGTTTTGTAGTTCTGTTTCTTCCTTTAGGAAGGCTGCATTTCCCAGCATCCATGGTCCCTGACTCTGGGTAGGGCAGTATAAGTGTTCTAATCAATGGAATATGTACAGAAATAATGTATATTCCTTCCAGGCCTACCCCCTAAAATAGTCCACATGATCTTCTGTGCTGTCTGCCTTTACTATTTGTCCAGCAGATGGAGCAGATTTAGGGAACAACATACAAAGCCTTGGGTGATGGAATAGCCACCTGTTGAAACATTGCTTCAGCAAGAAATAAACCATATTGTTTTAAGCCATTGAGACTCTGAGGTCTGAAAACTAACAGACAATGTAAATTAAGATTTGGTTAACTAAAACGGTGTATAAAATTGTGTCCTACTGATGAGTTAGTCAACTATCTGCTCAATAAAGAATTATGACTATATAAGACCTGAAGTTCAAATTCAATGGACTTACATTAATTCAGTAGAAGAGACTGTTTCAACTGTATTTAAGAGGCAAAAAAATTTAAAAAAAACTCCTACATATCTTAATATTAGCACGTTTTGGAGTTTAAGTCAAGATGATTATGTGCTGCTCTATACAGGAATATCTATTCTACAATACCTACTGTTTCTATGGTCATAAGAAATAACATTCTTACAATCTATAAAGCAACTGCCCAAAGGAGATTCACAGAATGTGTGTTAGAAGTAGAATTTTGCATTGACATGCCCAAATAGTATCTAAAGGATACCTTTTGATACTGGAAGAAAAATGCATGTTTAACCTAACCAAATGGATAAGGGAAACATATGCTGTATTAATATAAAATCACTATACATAAAAAGTAGAAAACACATTCCAGCACCAACACACATAAACACACACACACACACACACACACACACACACACACACACAGAGAGAGAATTATTTCAGGATCAACTGTTTACCTTCATAGTACAAGAAAAAGATAATGTCCTAAAGAATAATTATTATGTCACTGAACAAATGATGTTGGTGGAGGTGGTACACAAGCCACTGAGCTGAGAGGGAAAGAAATGAATCAGGTTTACAGAAGGCCTGTGCTAAATCTGGCTTTGTCCCTTTCTTGATTTAAAAAAAAAAAATTTTCTTTTTTTTTTTTTTTTTTTTTTTTTTTTTTTTTTTTGAGGCGGAGTCTCGCTCTGTCGCCCAGGCTGGAGTACAGTGGCCGGATCTCGGCTCACTGCAAGCTCCGCCTCCCGGATTTACGCCATTCTCCTGCCTCAGCCTCCCGAGTAGCTGGGACTACAGGCGCCCGCCACCTCGCCCGGCTAGTTTTTTGTATTTTTTAGTAGAGACAGGGTTTCACTGTGTTAGCCAGGATGGTCTCGATCTCCTGACCTCGTGATCCGCCCGTCTCGGCCTCCCAAAGTGCTGGGATTACAGGCTTGAGCCACCGCGCCCGGCCGAAAGATGTCACTTTCTAGATGTAAAAGTCAGAGACCATAGGTGTCAAATGCTTGGAGTTGCAGTCTCTATTTGCCATTAACAAGCTGTTTGACTTGGGAGAGCTATCTTATCTATTTCCTCAGCTATGGAATAAAGAGAAGATAATACTTATTTCACGGATCATTAAGAGGATTAAGTCATATCACACATATTGAGTACTTAGGCCTTGGGTGAAAGTAAATATTACTAAATACTGGATATTATACTAATGTCCTATCTCCATGACTAAGAGCCATATTATCCTTACTTGAAAAATAAGAAATCACAGAAGATAATTGATATAATTTCTTTAAATGACTATAGTCTGAGTCTATATCTATCCCTTAAAGTCAAATATCCACTTGAAAAATAAAAACTCTAAAAGACATATTTTAAGTAATGACTTTCAAAAAATTCTACAAGAGAGTCTGGTCTGCTACTGAGATTGATTTAAAGAAAATAGGTGACATAATAAGGCACCAATAATTCCAAATTTTTAACATTTAGAAGTGGGATGGTACTTTGATCTATTCATTATCCTTCATGACTCATACCCTCATTTGAACATAGAAGGTAATAAGATAATTTTCAGGCAACCATTTAAGTTAAAAAGATGTCATATTTAATGAGTCTTACAGAGATAAATAATCATTTCAGTCACACAAATTTGAATGGGTCTAGAATGTACATGTTAACACTTCATTTTTGCAGCTTAAAGTGATGTACTTTCTGGGCTTATAAACTGTCAGCAACTTAAATTTTCTTCTCATTCAGAAGAAAGCATTTCTACCAGAGGTTGCAATAGTGAAAAATGACATCAGCAATATGATGTGGACTTTATTTCAAACTAAATGAAGTAGCTTCACTTGGAAATTCCATAATTTAGTAAATCTTGCTTTGTGCTTACCAATTCTTATTCAAACAAATCCCCTATTAAGACTCGATTCAAAGCAAATAGCTTAAGATGCTGAATCACTAAAATCATTGAAAGTTCAGTTCTAATTATACTTTGGATTGGTTTTAAGTGACCATAACATAAAAACAGGTTTTAATATACCAAGACACTATATGTAAAACATTGTGACACAGAGGAATTATTTTCTTAATTCAGGATTCTATTTACTGCGAGAAGCTTACCTCCTGCGTACATAACAGCCAGCATAATGGATGATATCCATGCTATTTCACTGTAGGTAGTGTGGAATATTTGCTGAATTTCTTTGAAGAATACGGTGACGGCTTTAGGGAATGCATATGAAAATCCAATGGAGATAAAAGCTGCTCCAACCACAACCCAGCCCCATCCTCCATCTGGAGGTGGATGCAGAGGTGGGGTACTTGGCATTGGTGGCATTTCTGCTCCTCTAATGAAAATTCAAGTAATCTATATTTAAAAAAATGAAATAACAGTTTAAATTTTATTTCCCCTTTTGTTTACCACTCTTGATAGTCACTAAAATAGTACTTTCTAGTTAAAACTACAATATGATTTTTCATGAATATTTTTCACACTCTTCTGTTCAGAAAATTACCAGAAAATGTACAAAAAAAATCAATGCAAGTTATATACCTTTGATTATTGTGGGCTAAATATTTAAATAATTTAATGTGATTATTGAAACAAAAATTACTCAAAGTGAAGAATTTAGATCTGAACTGAAGTAGAATTTTACATTATACATCAGACGTAGCTCTAAGATAGATCTCATACATATTCTACTTCAATCATCAGTTGTTTTAACCTCAATAATTGATAATTTTGGTCTCATTTTTCCTTTCTGCTTAAGGCTAAGCCAAGGAATGAAGTGATGGTTGCACAGCCTTTTGACATGACCTGTTGGCTTTTTTTTTTTTTTTTTTTTTAGTGCTTTCTGTTGTCTAGCTTTTTGATGACTGTCGAGACAACTCTAACTCACTTTTTTTTTTGGAGGGGGGGGCGGGAAGGAGTCTCACTCTGTGGCCCAGGTTGGAGTGCAGTGTCATGATACTGGCTCACTCCAACCTCTACCTCCCAGGTTCAAGCGATCCTCATGCCCCAGCCCCCTAGTAGCTGGAATTACAGGCAGGTGCCACCATGCCTGGCTAATTTTTGTATTTTTAGTAGAGATGGGGTTTCGTCACATTGGCCAAGTTGGTCTCAAACTCCTGACCTCAGATGATCCACCCACCTCAGCCTCCCAAAGTGCTGGGATTACAGGCATGAGCCACCACCTCCGGCCCCCACTATTTTTTTTTAAAAAAATTACATATTTAAGGTGTAAAACGTTTTGTTATACACATTCATAGCAAAAATGATTACTACAGTCAACCTAATTAACATACCCCTCGCCTCATAGAGTTACCGCTTTTCTTTTTTGTGCTCAGAACACCTGAAACCTACTCTGTTGGCAAATTACCAGTATACTATACAGTATTACTAACTATATTCACCCAGTAGTTCAAGGCTGCAGTGAGCTCTGATGGAGCCACTGCACTCCATCCTGTGTGACAGAGAGAGGCCCTATCCCTAAAATGTTTTTTAATTAAAATAAAATAGCTAAATAAGCTTTAATTGCCACAATGATTTGTACAGAAAATATCTCATTTTTAAAAATGTTTTTTATAAATATATTTTACATGTCTTATTTATATACTCATACATCAAAAAATTTAGTTTTTTATATATTTACTTGTATCTATTATATATTTATGGGGTACAATGTGATGTTTTGATATATGGTTATTTTTTAAAAAGCAGTCTCAAATTACTCTTTTATAGGAAGAAGAGGTATAATTGATAAATGTGCCTACCATTCTATTAGACACTACAGGTGAAAAAAATTTTAAAAATTGTTAAATGGTATGAAAAAGGTAAATCCTTCTGATTTTCCCAAGAAAATACAATAAAGTAAAATTTAAAGTTATTCCTGACTAAATATACAGATATAAAATATGGCTTTAGATACAGTGGCATTAATTTGATGGAATAGTCTCAAGAGTTCAAATTACTTATCTTATTGAATTAATGCATGATACTCAAAGTAATCTATAATGTAATCTATAAGTATACAAAAATGGATAAGGGGATCTCACTCAATAAATATTGTGTACTTATTATGCTAAATACATGCTTTTTATTTTCAGTAAGTGTTCAATTTAGTTTCAATAAAAGCCTTTTCCGGTATTTTTTTGTATTTTTAAAATGTGACAAATTTCAGAAATATTAAGAAGCCTTACCCAAGTAAAATAGTAATGGAAGGGACTCAATTTTACTAATCACTGCTGACTTTACAGATAATATAAATAGAATTAGAAATAAGACTACCGAGTAATGTAATTTAGGGGGACAAAAAGCAAGCAAAAAAATTGTTGGCATTTTTATTACAGCTTCTCTGCATATCTATAGTATTCTTATTGATCAAAATGGTCACAGGCATCTAATTTTCAAAAAATGAATAAAATAACTTGAAATATTTTATTTTATAGGTATACATTTGTATGTTAGAAGCCTACCAAAAAATGTCATGGAAACTATAGTGACAAGGTCAAATGAAAGGCTTTAACCACAAAGAAATAATGCACATAATGTAGAGCTTAGTCAATCACGGTAATCAGGGCAAAGCCACTTCTATAAGTTAATGTCGTGCAAATGCTAAAATTGCTAAAATCAACCCAAAATACCACACCTCTCAATAATTATTTTGAGATGGTTTGTAGTCTTCAGCATGTGTACAGCTTGCTTTTGCAATCATTTTTGCTTTCTTAGAAACATAAAAATTACCTGTCTTCTATCTATCAATTCATCTATTAATTGGGAGATAAGTTTATTTCTCCTTGGTCTTCAGTTAACCTAACATGATGACTTTACATCACATGTGAATTGGAAATAGTATCTTTGAAGATGTATAATATTTAAGGAAAAAAGAAAAGGAAATAAATATTGTAAGTGTTAGTGAAACCAGTTGAAAATAGCAAATGATCTCTGAAAGTTGTCTAAAGTATCTGAATCTATATATTACTAAATTTTATTACTATATTTTAAAGTACCTATTTTATTGCTTGAAAATTTAAAAAAGAAACCATAGAAGAATACTGAGGAAATACCAAAGGACATTTATGTGGTAAACTACTCTTTGTTGTATAATCAGCATGTAAAAACAGTTACGGGGCTTAAAGTCCTCACTCTGCAGTTTTCCTGCTTGCATAAAGAAAACTAAACCATCTTTTATTACTAATTCATGAGTTTAAACTATTGTAGTTTTTATCACATCTGCTATAGTAAACATTCAGAAATACAACTGGATGATTTATTTTTTACTCACTTCAAAGATCATAAATAACATTTCTAAGTAATCTTAAACCCATATTTTAAAATAATAATATCAATACAAATATTATAATTCATTAATATTCAAATCATGTTATAAATATGGGATTTCCATTTTACAGACAGGAAACTATGCCCATAGGAAAGTAAAGAGGTGTGTGTAGACTCACACAATAAATAGGTGTCAACACTAGTATAAATTCTATGAATTAGAATTTTCTCAGCATTTAAATACACTCCACCTTAAGAAATGGAACACTCTTATATTAAAATAATTTGAACTTATAGACCCTTTAAAACCATTCTACTTGGTTTGCTCCTATACAAAGAATAAAATAGAAAAGAGAATGTATATACACATGCACACACACATATATACAATTCTATTTTCTAAAATTCTAGTTTATTTTGAAATTGTATATTTAAGCTTATTTTCCTTTACATGGTTTCCTCTTGTGGCATGAAAATTAAGCATAAGAGCTTCAAATGCTGCAAATACCGGCTCCATCATTTACTCTGTAACGCTTAGTAAAGTAATAAAACTGAGTCTGTGGTGTCATCTGTAAAAACAGGATAATACCTATATTTAGTTTATAAGGTAATTAAGAGCATTGACAGAAGACTACATGTAAATGGCATCACTAATATGTATTAGACAAATTTACCTATCATTATCCTAATTTTTATTAAAATTATATATAAAATGACAATGAGTGAAGATCTTAAAATTACATTTTTAGAGAGAAAAAATATATATGTGGCTTTCAAAATTCCATGTCTTTTATTACATTTAATGTAGAAGCTATAACTTTTAAAAGCCAAATCTTAAAGTGAAATTTGCATGACAATCTCATCTTGAGTGTCAAAAAAAATTGCATGAAGAGTACCTACCTCACAAGAGTAGTGTGAGAATTAAATGAAATAGTGTGTGCTTGCCTCAGATTTGTGATCTGCACATAGTTCAGTGTTCAATAAATCATAGTTTAGGTTGAATGTGAAATCCTCCAGAATTTCTCTAAAAATATTAAATAATTTTAGGATCTTCAGAAAATAGCAATAGCCATTTTTAATCAAATCACCTCTGTATGTCTCTCTCTGAACACATCGCTCTTTCTCTACCAAACGGCAACAACTATCCCAAATTGTATGATGGCTTTTAAGTTAATGTTATTTATACTTTTACCATATATGTATGTGTGTGTATGTATATGTTATATGTTCCTAAATTTATATATAATACATAAACTAAATATATATTATACATAAAATTTGTATTACCTAAAATATATATAGATCAGAGTCAACATTTAATTCTTAACAATAACAATAATTTAATAAATTATTAATATTTCAAGTATATATTACATTTTATACATTATATGCATGTAATAATATGCATATGACATATATAATCTTGGAAACAGTTTTTTAATTTAATATTATAATTTTAGATTTAGACATGATGTACATAGACTTATAAATCTCATGTCACAGAGTACAGTTGATTCTCATTATTCATGGAAGCTGTGCTCTATAAAGTCACCATGAACACTGAATTACCAAATGCTGAACCGCTGCACATAGTAGAAAAACAAGGTGAGACTCTGACCACATTTTTATCAACCAATCAATACAAAACCTTGTTTTACGTGTGTTTCTGTTTAAAGATACCTTACTTAATACATATTGCTGATTCATTGACACTAAACTTACAGGGAATAGAGCCGTAACTCACGTCTGGATGAAGCTTATCTAACACAAATATTTTTTCTAAAAGACACTTCATAGTTTTCTCGTGCGGAGGAATGCTAGACAGCACTTCAGCATTACTCTCAGGGAATATTTTAAACAGCAAGATCACCAACAAAAAGCACAAAATGTGAAAAACATGGTATTAGACTATAAAAAGAATACTGGTTTACAGTATGAGAACTTAAACCAGAAGGCAGGGTCTTGCCTTGTTTGACCTCAGCTGGGAATGTAAGTGTTGCATAACAACTTTTTTTGCTGTTCTGTGCATGTCAGCAAATAATTGCAGAAGTGCTGTGAATCACAAATTTCTGTGGATATGCAAATTT